TTCTCCCCCATGATCACTTCTAATGCATGCAATGTGAGAGTCTTTTTCATTTTGAACCAATTTAATGAATTTCTTAAAAGCATTAAGTGCATCATACTTATGAGCAAGAAAGAGTGTCCATGTAAACCTCGAATAGTCATCAACGATAACAAAGCCAAAGTAATTACCTCCTAAACTCATAGTTCTTGAAGGTCCAAAAAGGTCCATGTGCAAAAGTTGTAATGGCCTAGTCGTAGAAACAACGTTCTTTGACTTAAACGAGGCCCTTACTTGCTTCCCCTTTTGACATGCATCACAAATTAGATTCTTCTCAAACTTAAGTTTAGGAACACCAATTACTAAGTCTTTAGAAACCAACTTATTAAGATGGTCCATATTAACCTGAGCTATCCGACGATGCCATAGCCACGTTTCTTCCTCTTTGGTAATGAGACACTAAGCTAAAGTAGACGGGGAATTTTCAATATCAAACATGTGAATGTTATCTACTCTACTACCACAAAGAATAGTCTTATTGTCACACAAGCGTTCTACAATGCATTTTCTAGAATCAAAGATGACACGGTTACCTCTATCGCACAATTGGCTAATGCTAAGAAGATTGTGCTTGAGGCCCTCAACAAGAAGAACTTTCTCAACGGTTGTAGCATTGTCCTTTCCGACGGTGCCACTTCCAATGATTCTTCCTTTGTTGTTGTCACCAAAAACGACATTGCCACCGTTGAAATACTCTAAATTCCTAAATTTGGATGCGTCTCCGGTCATGTGCTTGGAGCATCCGCTATCGAGATACCAAGAGGTACTCGAAGCCTTCAAGCACACCTACAAAAAGATATCAAGGAGACGGTTTAGGTACCCATGTATTGTTGGGTCCTTTTTGGTTAGCAACTGTGCGATGTGTGTGCGTTTGTTGAAAATGCCTAATTTTGGTGAAGCACACGGGTGCAATGTGACATATCTTATTGCAATAGTGGAAAATAACATTTGGATTATTCATCCTATATGGTTGAGTGTAATGAGTTCTAGGTTTGCTAGGATGTGCTTTTCTAGTTTGATTATTTATCCTAGCATTTTTATTCCCCCTAGCTTTAACAAATGTTGTGTTTCTAGGTTGGTTTTTCTTATATCCAAGTCCTTCACCATTACTAACTTTTTGCTTAAGTATTTTATCTAAGGTGTTTGAGGCATTATTGAACTTTCCCAATTTGCTCTCTAAACTAGCGACCTTAGCTTTTAGTGATGTACAACTAGAGCATGTAGAAGAAGAAGTAGTTGAAGGTTCTTGTGGCCTTTTTCCAAAAGATATAATTTTTTGTTTAAGTTTATCATTTATATTTTTGAGTTCATTGATTTCATTCTCAAAAATCAGGATTTTTTGCTTTATTTCATTGTTTTCTTTGGAAGCCTTTTTGAACATTCTTACTAAATCTTCTACAATGCAAACAACATCATTAAGAGTTAAAGGATCATTGGGAGAAGGTTCTTGATCACTTACCTCTTTTGATGTATCACCATCTTCAATGGCCATGAGACAGAAGTTGGCCACTTCCTCCGTTTCCGAGTCTTCACTCCCGGAGCCGTCGTTCTCCCAAGAAATGTAGGCACGTTGCTTCTTCGGTGCCCTCTTGTCCTTCTCGTTCTTGAGCTTTAGGCACATTGGTTTGATGTGTCCAATTTCACCACACCCATAGCATTTGGGTGGAGTGTTCTTCTTGGCTCCCTTCTTGAGCATCATCTTCTTGAATTTTCGGACAAAGAGTCCGAGGTCGGTGTCGTCGCTGTCATCATCTTCATCATCAGCGTTGTTGTGGGTTGATGTTGTTGCGGGTAGAGCAATAGACCTCTTGTTCCTCTCTTCAACCACCTTTGAGAGTTGGGTGGTTTCGTAGGTAATAAGATTACCTCGAAGAGCATCATAGGTCGTTGTTTGGAAGTCACGACCTTCTTCGATTGCGTCCACCTTTGAACGCCATTTGGGGAATAGACTTCGCAACACCTTTCTCACGAGCTCTCGGTCGGTGTATGTCTTCCCGAGAAGATTGGGAGGATTGATGATGTTAGAGAATCTCTCAAACATTTCCTCAATTTTCTCATTTTCCTTCATTAAAAAGAGTTCATACTCGTGAGTGAGATGGCCAATTTGCCTCCCGAACCTGCGCGGTTCCTTTGTAGGTGACCTCCAATTTTTCCCAAATTTGTTTTGCGGTTTCACACCGCGAGGTTTTGCGGTAGTCATCCGCGTTAACACCGCAATAAATCATGTTTATTGCCTTTGCGTTGAGCTCCATCTTTTTGCAATCTTCGTCAATGAACTCCTCTTCTGTTTTGGGGACGTTGACTTCACCGACTTTCTTCATAGGGACTCCGCAGCCGTTCTTCACAATCAACCACAGCTTGTAGTCGTTAGATTGGCTAAAGATTCTCATCCTCTCCTTCCAATACGAGTAGTTGGTTCCATCGAACAACGGTGGCCTTGTGGTTGATTGTCCCTCGTTCACTCCCGCGTTGAACATTCTTGATGCCATTTGATCTTTTAGTTCCTGAAAAAATAACGTATTCGAAGAACTTCCTGCTCCGATACCAATTGTTAGACAAATGTGCAACTCTAGAGGGGGGGTGAATAGAGTTGTTTTCAAGAATGTGCGTTTTTCGCGTGTGTGAAATAATAAAATCGCAGGAATAAATAAAGAGAGTAAGGGAAAGAAAAACACCGAGATTTATACTGGTTCACCACCTCGTGGCTAGTCCAGTCCTCCGAGAGACTCTCTCGAAAGTCCTACTAATCTTCAAGCTTCAACGGGTGCTTGAAAAACCGGTACAACTTGAGAACTTGAATCACACAAGCCTCACTTTTTTTGAGAGTTAGAAATATTTTTTCTTTGAGTGCTATAGAAGTTGTCATCCATAGAGCTTAAATCTTTCAACACTACTTTCCTCAATTGTGTGAGCTTTCATTCTTGTGTTGTAAACTCAATCTCATTTGAGTGTTGTTCTTAAGACTTGTGTGACTCAAGTCTTGTTGTTGTAAGAAAGTGAGGCTTGTGTGATTCAAGTTCTCAAGTTGTACCGGTTTTTCAAGCACCCGTTGAAGCTTGAAGATTAGTAGGACTTTCGAGAGAGTCTCTCGGAGGACTGGACTAGCCACGAGGTGGTGAACCAGTATAAATCTCGGTGTTCTTCTTTCCCTTACTCTCTTTATTTATTCCTGCGATTTTATTATTTCACACACGCGAAAAACGCACATTCTTGAAAACAACTCTATTCACCCCCCCTCTAGAGTTGCACTTTTGTCTAACAATTGGTATCGGAGCAGGAAGTTCTTCGAATACGTTATTTTT